GTTATTTACTAATAGTTTATTATAATTTCGACAGAATTTAGATAGTCACTAAGGGATTTCGGCAAGCAACCTTAGTTAAGACTCAGATAACATCTCTATTTATATATTTTTCAAAAATACAATTTCAAATAATAATAACTATCTAAGAGATAAAATTACTAATCAAAAGATATAATAAAAGTAAGAAGTAAAATAAAAAATAAAATAAAATAAAAGGTAAAAAAATAAAATGATTTGAGAGATCTTTGTCATTATGTAAATATTTTTAAATATTTTATATTTGAAACTTATTCGAAAAAAGCAAAAAAAGCAAATTAAACTAAAACTAGAAAAGATACTTTTGTTTGAAAATAATTTTACTTGAATAGATAAAATAAATTAAATTAGTAATGAAGAAACTTGCTCTTAATTATATAAAAATTAATTGGTATTGACTGGAAATCTGTTCATATCAATTTTAATTTGCATTGCTTTTTAATATTTGTTATTATAGCACTTTTATTAAATAATATCTTATCAATATCAAACTTGAATTCTATGATATTTTTTATTTGATATTTTATATATACTAATCTTGATTTACCAATGAATTGGTAATTGAATATTTCAAATACTACCATACATGTATTTGATTAACCAAGATGAATTATCAAAATTATACTGAATTTTGACTAGTATTATGAAAACTTGAGAAAAGTATATATAATTTTATATATATCTGATAAAAATTATGCAAACAGAAAAAATAAACTGATAAATTGATAAAGCTTGACTTAACTTATTGTTTTTACAGTTTAGTTTGTCAAATTTGTCATTTATCAGATGACTTATCATTTTGCGAAAAAAGTTAAATCACGTGCTACTGGCAACACAAACCAATAAGAATACATAAATTTTTCAGTTCAACAAAACAAATCTGACACAAGAAAATAAAAAACAAAAAATACGAAAAACAGATTCCTAAATCTAGCTTGATACTAAAAAAATGTCGGGAAGACAATTTTACATATAATCTTGATTCTAGCTCTAACTCTAATCTTAATCCTAATCTTTAAATTAACTTTTAACAATAATCTTTAACAATTATCTTTATTATCGTAGAATTTTTCCGGACATACACAAATATCACATGATCTGACGTCATTTCGAAAATAGTTTAGACATATCGATATCGATATGGCTTGAGGCTTGTATTTCCAAAGCCTGGTGGATATGTGACTCCGTTCCTTTAAATTTTTCGCGTGCAACCGATAAGGTTAGAGTAAGGGTAAGGGTTAGAATTAGAGGACAAGCTTACATATAAAATCACCTTCCTAACATTTTTAATTAGTATTCCAAGACAGGTTTAAGCATCGGGTTTCTTGTAATATTCACATTTCTCGCATTTTTTATATCTTGTATCAGATTTGTTTTGCCGGGTTGATCAAAAATTTGTGCATTCTTATTGGTGATTGACAAAAATTTACGCACTCCTATTGGATGGATTACACGTGTTCAAATTTGGATGTAAAGCCGAATTAGGTTTGGTTTGGGAAACTGGTGACTTTATCGTTATCGTTATTACGAAATTTGGGGGGTAACGCTAAGATATTTTATTTTCACATTCTTAATTATCATGTTCTTTATCATTATTCTTTATTCCCATACTGTTTTATACAGAGCGAGAGGTTTTTCTTGTATTTTATACCGTATTCTTTATTTCCATACTGTTTATACAGAAGTTTTTTCCGTTTTTTCTGACCAACTCTCAACTTAGGGTTCAAGAAATCTATGGAACATTATTTTGAGCAGTTATCTCTTATTATTTTCACATTCTTAATTCTCACGCTCTTTATCGTTATTCTTTATTTTCATACTGTTTATACATAGGTTTTTCTGACCAACTCTCAACTTAGGGTTCAAGAAATCTTTGGAACATTATTTTGAGCAGTTATCTCTTTGTTATGGTCTAGCTACTGGGTAGTATCCTTTCAGTCTTTGGGCTGTTTGTGATGAGGGTTCGATTCCTTCCTAGGTCGTGCGGCCTTGGGTTTGTCATTTGTCAATCTGAGAGAGTATTCATTTGTCATTCCTTTGGCTTAGCTCAATAGCCCTCGCTGTCGGCTATAAACTTTAGCGCGAAATTTTCAGTGCAATTGTTCGGGGCGATGCATCATGCTTTTAAGAGCTAATAGATTCAATCCTATAAATTACCTTGCTTCTGGTTATCTGTGATTTAGCCATGGGTACGTGAGTGCCGAGGCCCGCGAAAGCTTCGTAAGTGCAGGAAAATGTTAAATCACTGCCAGAAGTCGGTAATCGGGTACAGTGCCCTTCAGCCTTCGGGCTCTTAACTGTGAGTACCCCTGACTAGATTCAAACCTAGAGGAAGTGATCGGGTAGAGTTTAATCCTCTATAGTCTTAGGGTTGTTTTGAAACCACTCTTAATTGAGGATAATTCAACTCGGGCTTATGGCGCATAAAATCTAAAGTCATCAAACGTTTGTATTTTATAAACTTCTTTACTAAGAAGTAAATACAAAATTTAATCCGTGAATATTATAGAATAGTCCCTTTCTGAGTATATTCATGGATTATATTTTATATTTAATTCTTAGTAAAGAAGTTTATACGTTTTATAAAATACAAACGTTTGATGACTTTAGATTTTATGCACCATATGATTTATAATTCTCTTCTCGTGGATTGGTCCTTTTGGGAAACTCTATTTCTCTTTTCTGACTAGTTATTCTGGTCTAATGTTCATTATGCGTTCATTTATATGTTCGTTATTATATTATATTTTCTGATGGTTCAAGCTATTTCTGGCCAAATGATGTTCAGCCCACCACAGGATCTTGTGTGGATAATCTCATTTTTGAGATGGAGGTTCGATTCCTTCCAAGATCGGCTTTATAGGCTGACACATTCAGAATAAATATGAGCGTTTGGTCCGGGGTTTTCGTCAACGTCTTGGTCTAGTTACATTCAGTGATTAGTATATTATTGGCGTTTCTCCCTCCCGGTATCCGGAAAATCAAAGCTCTTGTATGGATTGATACTTCAAAATCCTCTTGGATGACCAATAACAAAAACGGAAACAGGAACTTCAACTGTTGCTCGTATTTACAAAATCCGCGTCATCGTCATCAACAATAACAATAGTAGCGCCACTTTAAAGAAACAATCATTCAGACACTAAACATTGTAGCAGAATTATGCATTAACACAAGTAAGAGTGTGCTTTCGAACAGGTTGCGAAACTTCCTTCGACCATTATAAATTCATGGAGTATTATGAAAAAGCAACAAAAGCTGGACATCTACAGAGCATGTGTAAATATGCTGACCATTAACACGGGAAAACGCATGCATTTTGGAATCTGATTAATACATGTATATGTATTGACGTTGAAGATGTGATCGGAATCATGTGACAGTAACTTTTTTGCCACGGCTGAAAGTCCTCCTATGACTAATGTTTGCATGTTCAAAACCCAGAATAAGGCAACATTTAATGTTTCTTCAAAAAATTGATTTTTTCGTTGTTATCTCGAAATAAATTATTTCTTATCTATATTTACTCAAGCATATCTTTCTAAAATACACTGTAGTCAACAACATAACAAAAAATCCCCTAGTCGAAAATACTACCATCCCTTCCTCCATATCTCGCAACTTCTGCGGCCTTTCGCTTCTCTTTACCTTTAGCTTGATTCCGTTTATGAGAACTATGAGTCGTGTTATTTTGTAGTTTCCGATTTTTCTTTGATAATGATTGCGTTACACGTTTTTTTATTTCGACGTCAGTAAGACGAGTTGCGGGTAATGATAGATTAGTGGATATCGACCGGATTTCCGTAATGTCACGATGTGCAGAATATGTTCGATTTATGTTTTTTGGTTCTGGATCTTCATCACGTGATAATGGTGAACCTTCTCTTTCAGATTCATTTTCACCATCGTCATAATCATCATCATCATCATCGTCGTCGTCGTCGTGATTGTCGTCGTGGTCATCATCATCATTGTCGTCGTCATTTTTGGAGTAATCTTCGTCGTCATTAATAGATGACTGGACATCAGACGTTTGGTCTTGAAATTCATTCAACTCAGCTTGATACTGTGATTTTCATATAATAAACATCAAATAAACGAATGTATAAAATTTAGTGAATTAAAAAGTAAGAATTGAATAATATCAACCTGTTCTAACTCTTGTTGATGCTGTTTAGTAAATCCACTAGCAGCTACTTGAACATCAAGGTCGAATTCACGGTTTATATCTAAATGAAATTTCGGATAAAGCATACTTTCATAGCCATATTTCCGTAGAAAATATCTACGTATGCACTCAACATCTCGATTAAAATACCTAGTAATAATAATTATTATTTCATTTATTAAATAAATATATAATAAATTGTCAAAAGCATACCATTCAGCATTTGGATGTGACGTAGAGACCATCTGCGGAAAATCGATAAGCACAGGCTCACTATTTTCTTTTACCAGAATATTAAACTCGTTAAAGTCACCATGGATTAGTCCGTAATTGGCTAGTCGAACAATGATATTCATGAGATCAGAGTATAGTTTTCCTGGGTCTTTAACCTCTGAAATTTGTCGTCTGATGTTTTTAAGCAAAAAGATAGAGAAATTAGTTAACATAGTAATATTATATATAAATTGTATATCCATTTCGCTTATTTTGTTTGTTGTATACGTACAATGGATAGGCATTTATCAATTCCATCACTATACAATGTCGAACTTGATCTATTGGTGTTGGGACTGGAAACCCATTTTCATGTAATACCTGTATAGAAGATTACAACTATCATACAGTTAAAGTCTTTAAGAAGGATTTTACATTCATATTGCTAATTGTTGTAAAAATTACCTTCATAAACGCGTATTCTTTCATGGCAGCCAGACGTGACATGTACATCCATGATGCAGATTTTCGTCTGTTTAAATAATCACGTTTCGATTTAATCGCGCGAAAAGAAACGCGTCCAAGTCTATTCTTAATAATATAGGATAATTTTCTCTTTTATAAGCAAGTAATTACTGACAATGAGATTAATATTTGGATCGATTACCCACCGATGTATTTTTAATACATGCTGACTCTCTTCTTCATTTGCTACAATATAAATATCTATATTTTGATTGTATCAAAGATGAACAATTAAGATACAATTAATACAGTATAATTTGATAGAAATCGTAATTATTAATCAATTACCAGACTCTTTCCCAACGCCGATTTGATTGCCCACAGAATAAATGCTCTCGCGTTTTGCAAAAGTTTTTAATGCCAGATAGTCATAGCCACCATATGTCAATCGATACCCATCATCTGTTGTGAATTAATTAAAAAAATCCAATAGATTTTGTTATAAAAAGACGCAGATCAAAGAATAGATCAACCGAAATCCACACTCATACAACACATACAACAGATATTTCATAATAAAACATACATCTTGCATTCTTTACCCGTGCTACTAAATTCCTTTTTGCCAATTCTCCCAGTAACTTATGACTACCACCATGCCGTAAACCAGCAATTTGTGCAATAAGCGTAGTAGGAACTACGTCATGGTTTTTAGACCCCATTTCTACCTAATATAATGTCAACGAATCATTAATACACCATTCATAATGTGAAGCCATTTGTGCTTAATAGAAATGTTCTCTAACATCTTACTGCAGTCAAAACGCGGAACTCTTCCGCACTCATATATCTTAACACTTTTGCATCTAGTTTCATTTTTTTTTGCTTGGAATACAAAAAAATTTTCTGATTTGAATTTTGTATAATCTGGATCATAATTATAATCAGCGCACAAGTAATTGGCTACTTTCGTTATATCATTCTATCTATACAATGCTACAAGAATAAATATACATAATTATCGTTTCCGTTTTGACTTCTCATACGATTTTTTTTCGTGTTGTTCCGTCTCTAATATATTCATAATTCCTCCAATCTTTTTCTTATACGCAGCATCGCGTTCCTTGATCTTGCTCAATTTCTCACGCGCAATAAACTGGCTGTCCTTGCGCAACTCCCGAATTGCACCTTTTCGTTCTTTTTTGTATTGTGCTTTGAGTTTATTAAGTTGTGCTTGTTCACGGTTTTTCGTAGATTTACGTTCCACCGAATAGCTGCATATATAATTAAAAGGTTAATACGTAGAAGTGTGCAAAATGAGAGGTTGTCTTTAATTAATCCATACGTTTCTTCGAATTTGGGAATGTAGGTGGCAAGTGGGATTGATCTGTGGTGTTGTAGTTCAAGAGGACAACGTGCTTCATTTGCGAATTTTAATAGTCGTTGTAGTGTGTCTTTTGTGGACTTGAGTGCAGTCTAAGGTTATATTTAAATTTTAAGTGAACGAAACTAAATAATCTGTGAGAGAAACCTTCGATTTTTATGTTAAAAAAATACCTGTAGTTTAGTCGAAAATTTCTCTTCCGGAAGTTGATTTAATATAGTTAACGAAGGGGTGAAAAGTTCAATGAATGCCGATTTTGAATTGTACATCTTTGCATATTGTAACACGAGGTCCAAAGACGCAGATAATGCCGAAACGCTATAATATACAAGAAAATTCCCATAAACCAAATACTTTTAAAATAAATGAACCAAAATCTAAACTCACCGAAACAAATCATTTTCGAAGTAGCTATCACGTTCATTTTTATTAATCGGATTACCCAATAATTCTGAAAAATTTAATTTCCGAGGTTCAATCCCCTTTGCATCCTTGATTTGAAGTATGGGTATGATAAACTCTTTTATGGGAAAATATCCAGGAATCGAGTCGATAGAAGTAAATGTTTCAAATGGCGCGAGATAAATTAGCGACGCGTAAAGATAATTTAATACTTCTGGAACCACTCGCTTCGATAAAGCTTGGTACTGAAAGTTATAAAATAAATGTCAATTTAGTTTTTTTGAGAATAATCTAAATTTAGAATATACCTCTCGTAATAAACTGCACAAGAACAATCCCACTAATAGATCTCTACCATTGCGGACTGTATATTGTGTTAAATATTGTCCCATAAGTAGCGTAGCAGGCGTGACAACTGAATGATGAAAATCTGAGGTGGGAAATATTTGCCCAATTAAGCGTAAAATAATAAGATCGCTTGCTGTAGGAAATTTTAAGCTTTTTGCCTCAAAGGAATTTGGTAAAGCTTTTGCAATATTCTTTTGAGCTTCTTCGAGTTTCTGAATGAACCATTGCGAAGCTCGCTCGGAAAAGTGTTGTGAAAGCTCGAACACGTTCTTAACAAGTTTATTAAGCAGCTCCATAGGGATCGGATTTTCTAGAGTCCGAACAAGAATATAGTCTAAAAGGACTAGGAAAAATGTCTACAACGTTTAATGTATTATTAATTGAATCAGATTGATAAATGATTATGCTAAATCGGAACGTCACAATATACCTCTAATTTTTCCCGATTTCCAGGCGAGAGTTTTATATGATGCAATACATATATACGATGCACGACTACTGATACATCTTTGTCTCCGACATCCTCTATTATATTTTGAAATTGCTCAAGTGTAGTAGGACAAGGAAAAGTATAGGCTAATTCCTCTTTCGATTCTTTTCTATCCTTTTTAGGTTGCTTTTCCGCTATAATTAGCAATTCATTGTTATTTTTATTATTATAATCATGAGCAGAATTCTTATTATCTAGTTTGACATTTTTATATTTAATATCTTTTTTCTTTTTTAAAGATTCCTCCTCCTCCTCCTCCTCATCATCATCATCATCAACTTCATTTCCATTGTAATTTTCTTCATAATCATCGTTAACTTCCTCTCCATCCTCTTCATCTTCATCTTCGTCATCTTCATCATTTTGAATGTCTCTAGCAAAAGACTGCACGCTTATCCCTTTACCAAGACCAAAACCACCATCTTCTTCCTCATCGGATATATAATCATCATCCAAGTCATCTGCCACTGGAGCACGTTTTTGCTTTTTACGACGTTTATTATCCGTTTCATCATCGTCATCATCGGAATTTATTCCTTCCATACGTTGCTTCCGAGCACGCTAAACATCAAAATAAAATTAATTTGTTTTTTCTTTACTGCATAGAATCGGTCATAATAAATATCCAAATTGGTTATTATTTTTGAATAACTAAACTCACTAAATCCACCCAGATCACTGATTAGTGGTCATGAAGTTTTCTAAATAGAAAATTATTGGATAAAAAAAATACCTCTAATTTTTCAAGCTTTTCTTTCTCCTCCAACGCTATTTCCTCCTCAGTTTTCAATCGATCTGTGGGCCTACCACGCTTTTCAAGAGCGAGTTCTCGAACGAATCTATCATAGGCATCAACTTGTGATTCTTGCGGCTTCCGGTCTTGCAGTTTTGATGACGAACCATCAATTTTATTTGACTCAGATTTCAAAGCATTTGAAGAATTGTTTTTTTTTTGATCACTTGAAGAAGTGATCAATAAATCACGAATTTGATCCAATTCCTCATCCAATTCGTATCTAACACGCTCATCATCCTCTTTACTCAATTGCCTTTCATATTTATGCATCTTACTTTTTCCAATTATTTCTTCCATAATTTCCTTTTTTGATTTTTGGCGCGGAGGACGTGAATCGAAGACGTCTTCTTCATTAAAACCTCCAAAATGGCTTGTAGCAACAGTCTTACTATCGATAATCCCTTTTTCGTTATCAGTACTCTCGTCATTTTCACTCAACCCTAAATCAACTTCATCAAAATCATCAATCTCAGCCAATGATTGTCCATAATGCGTTAAGTCGTCATCGAGATTATACAACGTTGATTTTCCTCCTCCACCGCTGCTGCTGCGTTTTTGTCGTTCTTTGGCAAATCGTTCCAGCATTCTCTCTTCTGGGGTCATCTGTGGATTGCTCTCGCCAAATCGACGATCAATAACTCCGCCAGCTTTATTTTTTGTCTCTATCTCAGCTAGCAGCGTTTTTTTTCGCTGTTGAATTAATTAATTAATAATAAGATAAAGACCTGGTAAATTTTAAGAAATAATGAAAAAATCACATTATCGTTTCCAATTTGCTTCTTTAAGCCGGGTCGACCCTGAACACCCCTAACTTTTCGACCGAGAACTTCATGTTTCTCACGAGTAACTTTTATTTCAAACGGGTTAACTCTGTTCTTTATAAACTCGAGCCTTTTTTCAGAAAGGTTTTTCCCGGCATCTGACACGTTTCCCTTCTTTCGGCTCTTCTTACTAGTTGCCTTTCGCAAGCCTGGGCCAACTAAACCAGCATCTTTTAGAGAAGATTTGAGTCTTTTCAGGGTAGAACCGCCACCTCTGTTTCCTCTAGGTTGTTTCATTTTCCAATGACCAAAAATAAATTTTGACAATTTATTTATTTTATTTGATCTGATCCTCCAATAAAACGTCGCAACTTTATTTACAGATCAACCGAATCGCAAAAACTTTTTTTTTGATTTTAGAAATGATGAGTTTCATAGGATACAAGAAATTTGTAGAAGAAGGCGATTTGGTAGTCGCTTATCTAGTGAGTATTAAAAAGCTATCCGCCTTGAATAGCGTTCAATTATCTAAAATTTAAAGCTATCTTTAAGTCTCGTGAAAATATGACTACATTAATTATGGATTCCAAAGCCACATACAACAATAAATTTGGAACTTTTAAACATAAAGAAATGATAGGGAAACAATATGGAACAAAGGTACATTTGAAAATAAAATGCCCAATAAACCTCAACAATTTTCTTTTAGCTAAAATTATTATCTCTCCTAAAGTAGATGCCTTCTCATAACGGCAAAGGTTTCATGTACCTCCTTCACCCCACCCCCGAACTATGGACACAAGTTCTTCCGCATAGGACACAGATCTTATATCTAGCAGACATTTCATTTATCACAGCATATCTTGATCTCAAGCCTGGCTCGATAGTATTAGAATCTGGTAATGTAATAAATAGAATGGGGACATGATCTATATATATATATCGTTGTTTGTATCAAATTATTCAGTTCATTAATTCAGGTACCGGAAGTGGATCAATTTCACATTCTTTTGCACGAACTATCGCACCACATGGTCATCTATATACTTTCGAATATCACGAGGAACGTGCCAAAATTGCCAGGTGTGACTCCATTCATTCATCTACTTACTATAATTTTTCCCACATAAATATCACAATTTCCTTATATAATCTAGACAAGAATTTAAGGATCACGGTTTATCTGACTTGATAACAATAGAATGCAGAGATGTTTGTAAAAATGGATTTGGAATTACCAATAAAGTGCATGCTGGTAAATTTCAGACATCAAAAACAATTCAACTATAAATCTTTTTACTAATAATAATTTATATATTAGTCTTTCTTGATTTGCCTGCTCCGTGGGATGCAATTCCAGCAGCAAAAGAGGCTTTCAAGGTAATAATAGATTGAGAGATTAACCGTATATTATAGATAATGAAGCATTGATATTTTATAGAGGACTCGAATGGGAAAAATCTGCTGTTTCAGTCCATGTATCGAGCAAGTACAAAAAACGTGCACATCATTAAACGAAAATGGATTTGTCGGTCAGTATCGTCATCCTAATTCTTTTAAGAAAGGACAACAATCAGAAAATTAACCCTTTTTTTCACATAAGAAATCAAGATGTTTGAATGCCTACTTCGGTATCACGAAGTCAAGACAATACCAATATATACTGTGACGGATGCGGTCGCAAGTATTAAAACTCAACAAGCAAAAAAAAGGAAACGAAAGGAACAAGAGGATGGCAATGAAATTTCGGAGGAACTAATAATATCTTCGTCAAATAATAGCAATCGTGAAAGTGCTAATAATAGTAGTGTTAGTAGTAATTCCAAAGTAAAACAGGATGCCCCTCCAAATCTTTACGTTTCCAAGACTCCTACCGAGACTAAAGGTCACACAAGTTATATGACATTTGCTACTTATCTACCAGTCTTATACGATGAACAATAGATAAATAGATGAAGCGATTAAGTTCGCTTTTTGATGTGCTGAATAGAATCAATAGCGAAAATAGAGCAAAAATGCTTTAGCATAAATAAATAATTTACTCGCGGCTGCACTTTTAGTTGTTATGTAGATATATTATCAATCCTCCTCGTTGCTCTTTTTTTCATTGTGTTCTTTTATAAGCACATCAATTTCTTCAGATTTATAAAACTGATGCACAACTTTTCCCTCCGCATTCAAATGAAGTGTCGCGAATTCCACTAAAGAGTATGAAAGATGATGATTCATCAACAAATCAACGACATAAAAGTTTAATGATCATCATGACTTACATTTATCGCTGGTCAATGTTGTAGTATCCATAGTTTTACTTAACACTTTAAGCGCCAATAGTTTAGACTCATGAAGCGTAATCTCATCCTTGTAATCTTGCTTTAATAGCGATTGGGCGGAAGCATTATTCGCGCCAATACACGTTGCTTTCCATCCACCATAATTACCGGATGGATCTGAGTGATAAAGTTGAAATTGGTGGTGCGAATCGTAACCAGCGTAAATAAATGATACACCGTATGGACGAAGACCTAATCAATCAGCCCAATATAATATAATATAATATATTAGATCCTGCATTCTCTATCAATCCTTTTTTTTAAAAACGTCAAGTCACCTCCGTATTGGGTATATCCTTGTTTAAGATCGCATAATCTTTGTACAAGCTGCTCAACTGGAATATCTTCACCGTATGAGAGCAGATATTGCTGAGCCACTTGACGTGAATAGTTTATGAGAATGTTGGCATCAGCTGTCATGCCTGCAACTCCACATATAACATTACTATACTCAAACAAAATGTAAATAAAATTAATGTTGGGCAATAGATTTTTATAGTAGGAAGGTATTTTTTTACATGTCGTTAAAAGACTTACTCGTTCAACAAATAAACCTTTTCGCTAGTAGTTGTTGATTCCAATAATTTCGAGGTAACCTTCTTTTCAGCTACAATAACAATACCGTCTTTGGCAAGAATACCTAATGCAGTACCAGCTTGGGAAATTGCTTCCATTGCATACTCAACCTGATAAAGTCGCCCTATTCATTTTTATTAAAAACGGTATTTTTGAAAAATACGAAAATAAAATTATTCTTACCTTCAGGTGAGAAGATTGTAGTTCGTGTATCATATCTTCGTGCCATGTTTAAGGTTTAGCAGCAGCAAAGATAGTAGAAATATATTTATTGGATTTAATTTATTACGTTCACAAACTCGCGCAATTTTTTTCCAGAAAAATCTTTAATCTATTATCGTTATTTGATATCCGATGTAACCGTCACGTGTTTGAACATATTTATTATGTGTGCTGCCAAAAATTTTGATAGTGTCTCTTATTTATACGTAATGTCTTCACCACGCGAACAGTTACTGCTCATACTCGCTCAAGCCGCTTCACAACAACAACCAGAGTTGTTGAAAAGTGCTGAGGCAACATTAAAAGAGTGGGAAACGGCTCCCGAGTTTCATTATACCCTACTGGTGAGTGCTTCCTCTCTCTTTTTCCCATTAAGAGTTCAAAAGGCAAGGAAATCTAATTTAAGAATACTTAGGACATAGTCTATGATAAAACCATTGAACAAAGTATTCGCTTCCTAGCTGCCATTTATCTCAAAAATGGAATTGATAAATACTGGCGAAAAACTGCCAAGAAGTATGTATAATATTAAGTTAAAGTGATTTTATTATTTATTATCACATTTGTTTATTCAATTTACAATATAATAAATAATCTATACATTATCATATGAAAATGTAAAAATTATTGTCTAGAATCAATTAAATTTTTGATTAATTTTGATTTTGATATTTTTGCAAGATCAATAATAAATACCAATGCCAATCTATTCTCTCTCTCTGTCTTGTAGCGCTATAAGACCAGAGGAGAAAACGCAAATTAAAAGTCGGCTACTCTCATTTATGGACGAGGAAATCAATCAGGTTCGCATTCTTAATGATGATATTACGAATACATATGGGAAGCTTGCCATTTTTGGATTGATTGTTGCATTTTCTTATTAAGAAAGAAATTGCGTTGAAATTTCGCCGCGAAAATCAAAATTCATTTCTAACTCGCATATCATTTTATTGTTTTTAGCTAGCAATGCAAAATGCAATATTGATTTCTAAAATTGCTCGGCTTGACTATCCGAAAGAATGGTGCGCTGCTATTGTTTATATTTTCTGTTTCGCCTATTCATTTTATTTATCAATCTTCATTTATTTTTTGATCTATTGCTAATCCGTTTTATATTGATATCACGTTAAAAGGCCTGATCTTTTACAAAATCTGTTGAAAATTATACATTCAACTATAAACTCTATGGGAGATTATCAATCACAATTAATTCAGAAACGATTATTATTAACGCTACATCTCACAGTAAAGGCACTATGCTCTAAAACCTTTGCCCCTGATCGAAAGATGCTAGAACAGGTTTTTGTAATAGATATTCATTGTTTTTTCAACTTTGCCACTTGGTCTCATTCATTTCTCTTAAACCCAGATCGCGCCAGATTTACTTCGAGATGTTGGCAGCGTATTTTTCGAACATGCAAATCGATTTTATACGTTATTATCTTCTAGTAATGATGTTTCTCAAATAACTGTGGAGCTGGAAACTTCAATTTTAGCATTGAAATGTCTTAGACGATTGATTACTCACGGATTTCAAGATATTAGTGAAATAGATCAAGCAAAGGCAAAAAATATCTTTATGATCTACTCTATTCGTGGTTATAAATGACTTTCGCTCAAAATGATTTTATCGTTTAGAAGTTTCCAGGGCTCCTATTTGACTATTTGCAGAAATTTTTCAATTTGAGTATGTATATCAACCATATATTTTGCATTTTCAACTTGCAATATTAATTGATAATATAATGGACATATATACATAACTTGGTGATAGGAAATTCAATGCAAGACACCGAATCTCCGATTTTCGCTTTTATCGAATCTCACATTACTCTTATTGGTAAACTATATATTGATTTACAAATGATGCACCCGATCCCATTTGCGCTTACACCGCGGACTATGGAGATTTTAAAATATTATTGGCAAGTTCTCGTTGCGCATGGACCATCTTATGATCAAGGTCAGCAATCTTTTTTTAGACAATCAACACTAAGGTCAGATTTGCTTTTTATGTTGTTTTTTATTTATTTACATAATAGTATAATTTTTTTGTTTAATTAGAATTGTCAATAAATCCATCACCTGCGCGATTCGAAAAGTTATTTGTGCAAGCATTATTACTTATTAAAGGAGTGATCAAGAAATCTTCTTACAATCAAAATTCACGAGGTAAGCTTTGCTTTGAAGATACAAAAGTAAAATTACAGCGAGGGGGAGACTTTTTAATCTTTAGAATCTGAATTATCTTAATCAGGGCTTGATAAGTCAAAAATAACAGCAGCCATTAAAACAGTAGATGATGAACTTCTTACGCCAGAGTTTATAACTTCTTGCGCTGAGATCTTGATATCACGGTTTCTGATTTTAATGAAGGAAGATTTGAGCATGTGGGAGGAAGATCCAGAAGGTTGGGTGAATTCTTCAGAGGCTGATCATTGGGAATATCAATTAAGAGTGAGCATTTTTTCTAAAAAAAAATTTATTATAAAATTGTTTTGCTATTAAGTTTAATTATATATATATTCCTTTTGGAATCTATTCAGCCATGTGCAGAAAAAGTATTTATGGAATTATTAATGCAAAACCGAGAAATTTTATCACCTCTTATAATCAGATTATTAGAAAATGTTGCATGTAAGAATAAAAAAAATCATTTGGATTTTGATATTTAATATTAATTGTATACCATATATCTTCTTGATTATATTAGCAATCTCTGAAGAGAATAGTTTACTACTAAAAGATACTGTATACTCAGCTGTTGGACTTGGATCTCATGAGTTATATGATGTATTGGACTTTGATAGTTTCCTGGTCAATCATTTAGTCAACGAAGTTGGTAATCGTAATCCAAGGTATTTTTGGCTTGATTTCGATTCGTTATTATTATGTATGCATGATTATATAGAATTCTCGAACAAAAAAACATTCATCATTTTCAGTTTCAAGATAATTCGTCGTCGTATTGGTTGGTTGATTGGTAGATGGATCAGTGTGAAGATTTCGAGACAAGTTAGACCAAAAGTATATGAAATTATGTTGCAATTAATGGATCCTGCTGAAGATTTAGTGGTCAGAATAACAGCTGCCATAAATTTACGACATTATATCCTTTTCTTTTAATTAAAGACAGATCACATTGTATTAAGTACTAATATGGTAAAATAAAATAAAATAAATCCTTAACCTTTTTTATCATACGTATAGACGAATGGGATTTTGATGCGAGCGTTTTCTCTGAATATCTCGATCGTACTGTCGCATCATTGACTCGAATTATGATGATTGTAGAACAATTTGATACTCGGACGAAGATTTTAAATTGTTTATCTGTTATAATAGAACGGATGGAAGAACAGGTGAATTTATCTTGAATTTTTCAAATTTTCCTACCATGTAAATATAAATTAAGCTAAATTTACATATCAGATTGCTCCGTTTACTCAACACATAACATCATTGTTACCACCCCTCTGGGATGCTTCACGACAAGAACCTTGGTTTAAACCGTCTATTTTGACCATTCTAACTAAACTAGTGGGGGTTTGTATTAAATTTAAAAATATATATATATATATATATATATATATATACTATTTCTATACTCCTTCATAATCTCAATTGTTTTTTTTAGGCTTTAAAGGAAAACTCGAGTAATCTCCAAGAGTTTATAATACCTCTATTGCAGTATAGTATCAATCCTAATATAGTAAGACCATATATTTTTATCATACATTTTGCATTTTATTTATTTTATCAAATATAAAAATATTTAACAGTTATTCGTGATGTAGGAAGAAAATGTCTATTTATTAGAAGATGCATTGGATTTATGGCTTGCTATCCTTCAAAATACCGAGCAATGCACACCCCTTTTATTTGAACTGGTGCCTTCCGCCATTGCATTGTTAGAACTCGGATCGGAAACATTAAAAAGAATTTTAAAAACTTTAGAAAGTTATATTATCCTTGTGCCTGAAATGATGATCCAGGTGATTATTAATTAATGTTTTTAAGCACTTATCAAGCAAATTAATGATATTTGAAAAAATAGGCTTTTGGACATCCTATTTTGGATGCATTTACGCGTCTTCTAGGCGATCTTCAAACAGAAGCATGCAATTTTATTATTCATGTGATTGACACAATATTGCAGGCATGTCCGATTCAATTAACGGGCGAAAATTTAATTGGTACTGGTCTGCTATGGAAGCTTGTGAATATTATATTCGAGGCTGAGGTAATTAGTAATATTACTCTGTAAAATAATCGTTATTACTAATTAATTAATTATTAATTCTTTGGCTCATCTCAGAAACAACCTTATAATGTTGTCGGTTATATATCAATATTTGCTCGAATTACTATAAGTGAACCAAATTATTTTTTACAATTTATTGCTATTGCCAACCAACAATCAAATCCTCATGGGGACGCATTGCTCGAAAAAATATTAGATGTGTGGATTATAAGGGTAAATTTTAATTGATTAAAATCAACAAGTTTAATTATTGGGAAAAAGCATGTTTTTTAATGTAACCGTTTTGCAATAAAATTCAAATTTCAATGGAAAATAGTTTGACAACATTGCACATCCAAAGCAAAGGAAACTGAACGCTATGGCATTCACCGCTTTAATCGCCACCACAAATCCCATCATTCTGACGCGTTTACCACATTTTATTAGTATCTGGTGTGATGTCTTAAGCGAAGTTCGAGAAACTGGTGGAGGAGAGTAAGTTATTTTTATTTCTAAATAATTCACGAATCTGTTCTTTTTATATATAATCATTATCTCCTTGTATTTTGATAAATATAAAGCGCTTTAGTTTATTGGCAACAAGAACCAACTGAAAATAAGGAATTTGTTAACGAAGAAGAAACTGCCGAAACTAAGAGACGCAGAGCGGTATATGCCATTATATACTTGACTTGTAATATTTTTTTGCGATAGCTGAATAAGTATCTTTTTCTTTTTTCTTAAATAGTTACTACAGCGTGACCCGGTTCACAGTACCAACTTGATTCAATATATTCAGGCAAAACTAACTGAATGCGAGACTTTAAATGGCGGGCCGGACTCATTCCGACAACAATATTTAGTTTCTATCGATAATGTCTTGTTGGATCAGTTTTATAGTCTAATGTCTTGACCTTTGCCAATTTTTTTGAACAATCTCTATTGGTGTTACTGGTCTGAAGATCATTTTGTGTCGTAACTCCAGTATTTCTGAACAATATATTAAGTCAATTTGACATGATGTGAACATGAATCAGATCTTTTTGTTAAATTCTCATTCTTCAAATTAACAAATGTAATATATGTGACAGATTAAAATGAGATTGGACCAGGACTGATGATTTTCTGCATTTTGCAAAATGCTGCAGAATATGCAAAAAAGTTATCTAAATGCAAATTATGCATAAATGAATTTAAAAATGCAGATATTAGTATTTAATCAAAAAAGTTATGTTGTTAATCAGTTTTTTTATCGTTGAAATTTTCAACAGAATTGGAACAAATTATTTGTAATTATAATGGAGAACCCAATCAATTTTATCCAGTATTTCGTAATGCATTCAAAAAAATTTCAACGATCATATATCTTTACATTCTTGTCATAATTTATTTGCTGCTGTACATGTATTTGATCCAACTTATATTTATCTTGAAGAAATGAAAAGAAGAAATATACATACATAATTATTCGGATATTTATGAACTTGCAATATTTATGAATGAACTATTATGTAAATGGACAATTTATTGTGAATTAGATATTTTGATATATGGGTTCATAGTGAAAAATTTACAAAACTTTCTTATATTAAAAGTTTATTAGTAACTTTCTTATATTGAGTAAATTTATTATAGTGATTTTGAGCTCAACTTTCTTATATTAAGAGTTTCTTATATTGAAAGTCACTTGTAATAAAATTTTAATTTCTCTGGATCTTAATCAATTTTGATTGGTTGTTAAATTTTGTTTTTTATTTTTATGATTTTTGAATTTTAAATGATCATTTAAAATAGATTTTCTACTATGGTTAATTATATGTTTGCATAAAATGCAATATAAAAATCTTGATATTTGGAATATTTGTTTAAAATAAATTCAGATATAATCCTTTTGTTTTCAAATTTAATATTAAATTCAATATAAATTTTAGATATAGTGAAAAAAATAATGTATTATGCAATTTAACAATGCAAACTTTAATACTTTTTAATTATTAGTTATACATTGTTTAGAATTTCACATAGATCATTTTTCTGCAAATGCGGTAAACTGGACACCTTAATTAACATATTGTCAAACTTCTGATATATTTCTATCTAAATTTTCAGTACTGATTTCATTTTCATTATTGTTTGTATCAATGTTTCGTCAGATTCTAACTCTTCCATTTCAGCTATATATTCTTCTAAAGTGTTATAATCTTCAAAATAAAACTCTTCATTCATTTTTTGTTAACGTTATAACTACATAAAGTCTCTGATTTATATTCGATAAAATAACAATACAGTAAATAATATTAGTGATGTAATAATCACACATAACAATAATGATAACAATAAAAGAATAATAGACAATTTTAATAATAGACAATTTTAATAATAGACAATTTTAATAATAGACAATTTTAATAATCATGCATAACATCACAGAAAATTAAATATTTAATCATATGATCGACTTGAGTCGAGTCGTTAGCATCCCTAATCAGAGACCCCCGTATGATGGCGGACCTTTTAGCAAATAAAGAGGAAGGTGATAAGCTAATCTGATGCTATAAAGAATCCAAACACAAGAAATAAACGTACCATGCAGGCATTTGCCCTACCCATATGTACCATTTTGAAGTGAGAAAACGGTATCATTCCAATTTACAGCACCAATCGCCACGAGATTCACAATGAAAGCCACTTTTGTCTGGCCTGGAATTTCGTTTCGACAGTTTGGCATAGGAGGGACGTCGTTAAAGCCTGCGTCGCTCCATTGAAAGGCGAGCGCAGGCATATCCTTTTTTAATTCACGTAAGAAAATCGTGGCGATAGTAGGATCTTGAAGGGCCACAGGAAGGTTATGTGATTCTAAAAACGTAAGGATTCTAATCAGATAATTTTTCCCAATATTTTCATTTAACCACCAGTTTTTATCTACCTATACCACACTTATGTGCAAGTATTACGACGCTTACTTTTTGAACTAATTGTGAATGTGAAATCAGTCAAAATCCTACACTAATGTTAAAGACTTGATACCTTTGCGAAGTTTTTGGAAAAGTTTGGCATCTTCTGTAGTGGTCGCTTTCGCAATGGCAATTCGACTTTGCATATATTTTATTTGGAACCAGTCAATGAGCAGGTCGGAAACTACTGTGCCAGCGTCTATCCAGTCGGTGCAAGGATATGACGAAGAAGAATCATAAAAAGTGTTGCCATTATTATGCCTGAAATTATCAGGATCATAATAATGGGACCAGTATCAAAAGGCCCTTCCCTTTTGATAGTTATTATAGCAATAGCGATTCGAGTTAAAAATAAAAAAGAATTCAATGGCAATTCGGGTTGAAAACAAGAAAGAATTCAGAATTATAGTACACCATTGGATTGCGTATTCATTGTCTTTAAAGATATGGCTTAAAAACATTGTGATATACATGTACAAATGAATGATGGTACCAAGCGAGTTTATATAATTTTTTGCGCCAATGACCATGTGACCCCAGCATAATAAATAATACTGCAATTTCTTACACGTGAAAGTTTCAACTTTCAATTCGAGTAGTTATCGTTATTACGTTATATTGGTCATATAATTATTTATGGTTCTGAATAGGATACATGATAAAATAGTAGAGTACAACGTGTACCATATTATATGATATGAAGCTATGTAATATATAAACGCTCTTATTTTATCTTGATAATGATGATGCAAATATTTATTATACTTTTTATTTTATATAATAGTTTAGCTCCAGGTGACAGTGGTATTGATATTAGAGCAAGGATTGCGAAAATTCCAATTATAAAAATCATACAATCGAATATATCCAGAGATGGTTCTTGCTTTTGAGGGTAAATATTTTTTTATTGTTTATAATATAGCGGTAATAACAAGAAAACCAAAGGATACGATTGTAATTTTTGTGACTTAAGGCGAGATGGTTATTCCATAGGAGCTAAAAAAAAATAGAATATACATCAAAACATAATTATTATTAACAAATAGAGATAATCTTTTTATAGATTTATTAAATTTTTAGATAGAGGAATAGAATTAATAAATAATAAAATCGAATTAGAAAAAGAAAAAGAAAGAGCGATAGATTATATAAAAGAAAACAACTTATTTTTTCTTTTTTGTTTATATTTTTAGTATTTCGTTTATTTTTTATTTTTAGAGTTAAATTATTATCAATAAATATTGAATTTTAAGAAAAGTTATTTTATTATCTTATCTAAATTATTATTATTATAATATAGTAACTAACAAATTTATGGAATCACACATGTGAGTTTATTAATAAAACATAATAAAAATTGAAATTTTTGTCTTATAACAGCAATCAAAAATAATACAATAGCAAAAAATTCTATATCAAAGTTTTTAATTTTACTAATAAATATTTCCTATTTTATGTTAAACTAAAGAAAATATCACATTTTAATATATTTTTTTTCAGTTTTTTAGATTTAATTTTATAATTTTGTTAATTACTATATATTATTATTTTTATTTTTATTATAATTAATTTTATATGTGTTATTATTATTTAATTATTTTTTTAGGAGTTTATTCAATCAAAAAAATTTCTTTTATAATTAATTAATAACTAAAGAATTAATATTTCTCTTCATTTGTAATTAAAATAATAAAATTTATTAATTTAATATAAAATATTATCTTTTTTTTGTATAATTAAAATATATATATTAAAATAAATTATAAATAAGATAAAATTAAAATTTTATTTTAAAAAAATAATTTATTAATATTTATCTAAAGTACAAGTCTTTTTGCATTGGTCTATATAATAGATATAGATCCTTTTTAGATAAATATTTTCAATTTTACTAATTAATATTTTATAAAAAAAGCTTAGATTTTATATTTTAATATTGATTGTCATTGTATTTCTATTTCAAAAATTATTGTTATCCACTAAATAATTATAAATTAATAAATTTATACATGTTATACATTTTTTTATGCTAATTATTGTTAGTATAATAATTCTTATATTATTGTATTTTAATTTTATAATACTTTAGTTTATATTTAATTTAATCAATAATTTATCATTAAAAATATATAGATATTTTTATAGTCAAATTTCTTTATAATCATCTTTCTTGAAAAGTCAAATTGAATAATTATAAAAAGATATAACTAGAAATATTTGATTATTTTTGTTTCTAGTTATATTTAGTATTGATATCATTTTAATTTTCAAATTATAAATTAAATCACGGGATTTTTGATTTTTTGGAATTTGGTAGTGATCGTTATTAATTGTATGTCATTTTTATGTGAGAAATGAATCCAAGTAATTATAGGTATAGAATGGGAAACGCGTCCAGAAAATCTCAATTATCTTAATTAATACCATATGCTTTATTTAACAGCAGCTTCTCGATAAACGAGAAAGATAATGCAATTAGAGTCTTGGTTGCAACTGATAATCATCTTGGCTACTTGGAACGGGATCCTGTTCGAGGCCAGGATTCATTTAAGGCATTTGAGGAAATTCTGAAATTAGCAAAGGATAACCAGGTATATTTACTCACACTCTTTTTCAGAGCTTAATATCATTATAACTAATACCATTGTCAAAATAGGTTGACATGATACTTCTAGGCGGTGACTTGTTCCACGAAAATAAACCGACGCGTAAAACTCTATATAGCACCATTAGTTTGCTTCGCTCATATTGCATGGGACCAAGACAGTGCAATTTACAATTTTTGAGCGATCAATCTGTTAATTTTTCCGATAGGTTCTGCTTCAAATTTTTGGTCCGGTTCTTTTGGTTTATGAAAAAAAAGGATCTTTTAATAACTATTTTTGTATTTATCGGTTATAGCTTTTCTACTGTGAATTATCAAGACCCGTATTTTAATATTGAGATCCCCGTGTTTTCTATTCATGGCAATCACGATGATCCATCTGGAGTAAGTCTATTAAATAACATAATATTTAGAAAATAGGTTTTATTAAATTTTCATTTATATCATATTATAGTTTGGAAGTCTAGCAGCATTAGATATTCTTGCAGTATCAGGCTACATAAATTATTTCGGCCGACCTCAACAAGTCGATAATATTGAAGTAACACCCTTATTGCTACAAAAAGGCATCACTAAATTGGCCGTTTATGGACTGGGTCACATCCGTGAGGAACGTTTACATAGAGCATTGCGCGATAAACAAGTTAAAATGATGCGACCAATTGAGACGCCCGATGAATGGTTCAATTTGATGGTGTTGCATCAAAATAGGTAGTCTTTCAAATATTATATTGTTGAGGTGGTACCTTTATATTTATTGTCCTCTTTTTGTTATTAATTAAAGACAAGCTCACGCACCTACCACATACGTTCCTGAAAATTTTCTTGAAGACTTTCTTCATCTGATAATATGGGGCCATGAACATGAATGCTTGATTGACCCGGTTTTTAATTCTGAACAAAAATTTGATATTACACAGCCTGGATCCTCTGTTGCAACAAGTCTAGTAGAAGGTGAAGCTACGCCAAAGTACGTAACTTTGATTATTTTCGCATTTATATATATATATTTCTTTTCATATATATATTTATTTACTTGATATCCAATTGAATAAGGCACGTTGGTATTTTGACCATTAAAGGCACAAACTATGAATTAAATAAAGTCCGCTTACGATCCATAAGGCCTTTTATTGTCGATGAGATTGACTTGACTTCTATTGACGATCTTTCACGTGATAAAACCAAAGAAATCCAAGATTTATTGGCAGATAAAGTAAATCTGATTGAATAGTAATATCTTAACCCAAGAATTAATATATTTATATGACGTTCGTATATCACAGGTAAATGAAATGATACAAAAAGCTACAGCTGAATGGAAAGCTTTATATCGTCCGGATGAATCGGCTGATGCAGAGACACCTCCGTTTCCTTTGATTAGACTTAAGGTTAAAATTAATACTTTTTGCAATTAATTATGTATAAGTGAAAATTCTAAAGCGTTGATATTGTTTATTGCTCTGATTCAGGTCGCCTATGATGATCGATTCACAGTATTCAATGTCAAAATGTTCGGTGATCAATTTATAGATCATGTAGCCAATCCTCGCGATCTTCTGTTTTTTTATCGGAAAAAATCATCAAAAGGTTATTAATTTCTAAATTTATGAATTACATGCATGCTTCTTTATCATTTGGTATATGTCTAATTAGTAAGTGATGATTGTTATTACTATTAAAGGAAAAAGAGCTGTAAGAAAGAATGTTCTGGAAGAGGAAGAAGTAATTGAGGAAGAGAACATAACATCAAATTTGATAGAGTATCTTCAATTGAATAATCTCCAAATTTTGCCGGAAAATGAATTTAACAATGCTGTGATTACTTTTGTCGAGAAAGAGGAGCCTGACGAAATAAACGAGTGGGTATTAAGAACACAATAATGGAAGATTTTATATGAACTTTAGAATTCAAAATCTTATTGCTTTTTCTCTTTCTATAAGTTTTTATCTAGACACACTCGATAGAAACAAAATCAGATTAATAGAACAACAAATTGATGAAAGTGAAGAAAGGATTTATCATGAGGTTTGTGTTAATCGGAAAAATATTATTATGGTAAATTCTTTAATTAGATTTATTTCTATAAATTAACAGGTTGGAAGAGAGAAAAAAATTCGGCGAGAACAAGATATTCCAAGACGATTAACAAAGGTATCAAGAGTATATTCTAAACCTTGGATTTCTTCATGATTTTTTTTTTAAATTATTGATTTAACAATAGCCAGTAGCAAACAATGATTCGATGGATGTTGAACACGATCAAAATTCCACATCTTCAGCAACAAAATCTGGCACTCCTACTCGAGTTATTAGACCCACAGTAGTTAAAAGTTCGCGCACGAAAGCACCTACTAAAGGCACAAACAATTCGCGGGTTCCTTCCACCAGAGGCAAAAAGAAAACAACTCGTCAAAAACAGGTAGATATAGATGGCTTGGTTTTATTGATTATTTACTTGCAAGTTGTATTAAAATTATTTCATTACAAAGGAAGACGATTTTGATGATGAATTAGATATCAATGACATTCAGGAGGACAGTGAGAGTGTGTTAGGTGTAATGTCAACGGGAAAGAAAAGCCGACCACGTGGTTCCACTACTTCCAATACTACTAAAGCGACACGGTCATCAACTCGTCAAAAGGCTCCTGTTAATTATGTTGGTATGATTTTTATTGTTCATTTATCTTTTTATATTTTTTTATTTACCTTTTTCTTATAATAGCGTGAAGATCCAGACGAAAGCGAAAGTGACGAAGAAATTGTTGAAAATGAGGCACCAGCATCAAATAGACAACGAAGATCCACTACGTCTACGTCAAAGAAAACTAACAAACTCAAGCAGGTATGAAATTAATTTTGTATTCATATCTTTTTATCAATTTATGTTCATTTTTATATCTTCTAGGATGATAAAGAGTACGAGAAAGAGGAAGTAACTGAATTATTTGAAGATGAAGATAGCGATGATCTTTTGGTTAGTTCAAGATTAAAATCGTCAAGGTAAGAAGAGACAATTTCACCAAAATAAAATATATACTTTTTTATTTTATGAATTTTTTTACTTTATCAAATAAAGATCTTCGAAACAAGTACTTAAAGATGACGCAAACGATAATACTCCTGCTAGCCGAAAACGTAGGGCCACGAGGTATGAAGGAATATATTATATTAACTAAATCTTTGAAACTAATATGTATCATCTATCTAGCAAACCTTCAATATCGCCTCCAGCGCCTAAAAGAACTGTTACCTCACGTTCATCAACCAGAGCAAGTTCATCACGATCTGGAAAAGAGCGAGATGACGTGGTATTTATTAAATTTGACTTTTTAGTTATTACTAAAAATGAAGTTGTTTTCTAATAAATATCGATTTTTATGGTCATATAGTTTGAACCACGAGTTGATGATGATGACGATGACGGTGGTGACTATTTCTTATAAGTGATTTTTAATTACAATAACCATTATTCAATATTTCATTGAAAGTAATAATTAATTCCTAATGATTGAAATAATATTAAAATAAATAAATGCAATTTTCCCCGTTAGATCATGTAAATATTCGCGTCTTCTCATTATAAAAGCGACAGCTACATTATGTATTTTCTATTTGTCGTCGAAATTCAATAATTCATAATACACAAATTTAATAAGCATGTAAAAAATAAATGTTTATGTACAAAATTTTGTCTTCATTTGATGATTGTATTTATCACTTCTTCCATTTCGTCTGCTGGCATTTGAGATGCAAGCTCGACAGCCTAATAAATGAATGAATATGTATTCGGATTCTTACGAAAAAAAAAAAACAAGTAGTTCCAAAATTGAATACCTTGGTGAACCCGCTCGTTATTTCCTGTGAGAGTTCAGACTGAGTTTTTATTTTCTCCAGATTGTCAGCGAGTATTAAATAATGTTTGTTGTTCTCTTGTCGAATCTTTTTTGTCAATGAGAGCAACAGCGAATAATCAGATTTTTTATATGCTATTATATGTAATCTATACAGTTAAACTACCTGCATTAATTCTTCTTGTAAACGTTTCAATTCTTTTTTCTTTAATGGCGTAGTTTTTGCTCGAAAAATAGCTTCGTGATTGGCATTATCCCTTAATATACGTTTTATTTTTATTTAAGTAAACTTTCTTCAATGGGCGAAATCATAAATATACAACTTACTGTCTAGGTTCATTATTCTGCGCGCGAGTAGTGCGTTGTTTCGCCTTTTCAATTAACATGTCTAAGTCATTTAATTTTTCTATAACACAACGCTCACTTAGAATATTCGCAAATTCTTCCTTTATTTAATGCAACAATTAAACTATTTAGCAGTCAAAAGTGTAATATAATACGATATATAAATACATGCCTCACAGCTTTTTCTCAAAAAATTACAGACTTCCGCATGTGCATTTTTGAAATCTTCAGCTTCAATTTCGTTTTTAGCAAGTGTGGGGAAACATGAAGACAATTGTTCGTAACTATGAAAAAGACATCAATAAAATACTTGAAAGAGAAAAAATAAGCAATTTTTTTCTAATTACCTATAAGCTTTCAAGGTTTCTGAGAGACACCTATCCAAAAGATTCCCAAGTTTTTTCGCACGCAGTCCTTCTTGATATTGCCGGGACTGTCCTTGGTGCGATGTTGCATTGGTTGAAATGCCGCCTTCTGACATTCTTCTCGAAAAGTCTTAGCAAGTTTGAATAGCAACATTTTCTCGCGCTGGATTCGGTTCTGCTGTCAATCAATTATTTAATTTGCGCGTGACGTCACGGATGTTTCTATGTAATCAAGAAAAATATCCTGTTATGCCAAAAATATACAAAATGGATCTTAATAAGGTCGAGGTAGAGACCCCTTCTTTGGATTTTATAAAAACTCATCTTCGTGACGCAATATCGCACTGTTCCGACAGAGGACTTTACTTCGCTGCTAAATGGTAATCAAGTAATGACAAGCTATTTGACTCTGCTCGTTTTAAGACACGTTTGAGCGTCCATTTCTTCATTGTGTCTTGATAGGGCAGCAGAAACTCTCAATAGCCTGCCGGAAAGTTTTATAGATACCTCAACAAGTGGTAGTGGCTCTTTATCAATATTTAGTGATACAAAGAATGAAACAACTACAAAGAATTTCATGAGTAACTTTGAAAGAGACAAGTTCCTCCTCGCAAAGTCTTACTTTGACGTTAAAGAGTTTGATAGAGCCTCTTTCATCTTGGAAAAATGCGTTTCTTCAAAAAGTCAATTTCTTAAAATATATGCTAAATATTTGGTATGCAATTTATCCATTTATTTTTTCTTTTCCTTCAATTGTTAGCATTAATCGTTATCTATTATCTAATAGGCTGGAGAAAAAAGAAAGGAGGAAGAAAGCAACGATATAATGGGTAACTTAATTTTTGATGCCGTAATCAATTCTTGGTCTTATAGATCTTAACTGATGATGGAGGTGTTAAATTAATAGGGCCGTTGGACGATCCTAAAGCGATTAATAAAGAATTAGTAACGATTCAGGGAGAACTTGAAAAATTATATAATAATAATGAAATGGATGGCTTTCTGCTTTATCTGTACGTGTTGAAGCTAAAAAAAAATTATGGTATTCGTTAATTGATACTCTGAGATTGTATAATAAACACTATTTTAGTTATGGTCTCATTACTAAACAGTTAGGCTCTCAACGGATGGCGATAAAATTTTTCCTTTCCTCTGTCAATGCTTATCCGTATAATTGGAGTGCTTGGTTGGAATTGTCTCAATGCGTCGCTGATAAGAATCAGGTCATTAAGTTATATAGAAATTAATATTATTTATGGATGCAAATTTCTCATAAATTCTCTTTATAAATGATACACAGTTAAAAGAAATCATGCAAGAGTTGCCTAAACATTTTATGACTAAATTTTTTAATCTTTATACGTCGGTTGAATTGAATGAAGATCAAAATAACTTTTATTCATTATTATCTGGATTTCCATCTCATTTCAATGATAATAAGTCTATTAAGACTCTTAAGGCTATTGTGCATTATAACAATAGAGGTAAATAATTTATTTTAATTTTTCTTGTTTAATTGCTTAATCAATAATTTTAATACATATATTCTTATTAATTTGTTAGAATTTGCAGAAGCCGAGCGTGATTTTGACGAGCTTATTTTATCCGATCCATTTCGTTTAGATGATATGGATATTTATTCTAATGTTCTATATGTAATGGATAAGAAAGCGAAACTAAGTTTCTTAGCACACATGAGTGCAAACACCGATAAATATCGGTCAGAAACGATGTGTATTATAGGTAATTTTTTTTTGAAGAATGTTCGATATTTTTTTACTCAATTCTTTTTCTTTTATGCATTTTTAGGAAATTATTATAGTTTAAAATCAGAAAGAGAAAAAGCGATCTCATATTTTAAACGTGCTTTGCAAGTAAATCGGCATTGCCTGACTGCTTGGACCTTGATGGGACATGAATACGTGGAATTGAAAAATACACATGCTGCAGTAGTAGCATACAAAAGAGCCCTCGGTTGGTATAGATTTAATTAAGAAAATAATTTGTAACTTTTCTCCGATAAAAAAATTAATTTTTTAATTACAGAAGTAAATCCTAATGATTACCGTGCGTGGTTTGGTCTAGGACAGACTTATCAATTTCTAAAAATGGATTTTTACGCAATTTACTATTATGAGCGTGCTACGGTACTTCGGTAAGCAAAGTAATTAATTAGTAATATCCCAGCCCATAATCGTAATTTTGAATGATATTAAACAAATATTTTTCATTGATCTAACAAAGTCCTCAGGATGCAAGAATGTGGGAGGCATTAGCAGGACTCTATGAGACCGTGAATTCACAAGAGAAAGCCATCAAATGTTACGAACATACCCTTGTATGCTCAGATTGTGACGATAATTCTACAAAGAGTGCAATGTCCCGATTGGCCACATTATATGAATCTATTAACCCGGCTAAGGCCGCAACGTATCATGAGAAGATTCTTCAAAGAGACGATGTATTTATTTTTGTGCATTGTATTTCTTTGATTGATTGATTTATTATATTATTTTTAAAGCTCTTGATTTCTCAGCTAAATGCAGATGCTGAAGAATTACGAAATGCTCATCGATTTTTAGCACACTACAGAAGAGATTTGGGCGATATTAACGCGGCTACTAGTCATGCGCAATATTTGATGAATTATGAAGGAACAGTTAGTATAAATATCTTTAAATTTTATTCTTTAACAAAATAACCAAATTTATTTTGCATCAAGGCACGAGAAGAAGGAAGAACCTTGATGAACGATTTATCAAGTCTAGTACATGATAATCAACAACCACCACCATCTCAACTATCTTCTTCCACTTTATTATAATAGCAAAATGTATAATGTAAATTTTGCTTCTTTAGATAAAACAAATTAAAATATTTAATGGGTTAGTATTAGAATGTTTAAATTTTGGTCAAAATTTTTAGTTTACAAAAATATAGACTAGTATTTAACGTGAAACACTTTATTTACATATAATTATTCTTTGTTCAATTAATTATTTTTGAATTTATTACTAACTAAAATATAATTAGCAAATTATTATTTTGTATTTTGCTAATAATAAATAGTTTATAATAATTATAAAAATCTTGTTATAGTTATTTTTTTTCAAGAATCAATTATAGTCAAATTTCTTTATAGTTACATTTATTTATAATTACATTTTTTCATAATTAATTTTTTTTGCTTTTTCATTTATATATTAATATTTATAATCATATTTTTTTTATAATTATTCAATTTTGCTTTTTCAAGAATAATAATTATAAAAAGATTTAATTATATAATAAAAATATTTTGTTATAAATATATTTATTATAAAATTTTATTTATGAAAAAATTTTTATTGGATTTAATAAAGTAATTATAAAAAGAATTGATTATATTATTTAATAATTAATTACAGTAATTAATAGAATTATGGAATCATGTATGTAATTTTATTAATAAAATAGTAAAAATTTTAATTTTTACTATATTTATTAATAAAATTATATACACAATTTCATAATTCTGTTAACCATTATAACTAATTAGTTATATTTCTTTATAATTATTCTATTTTGCTTTCTCATTTATATATTAATATTTATAATCATATTTTTTTATAATTATTCAATTTTGCTTTTTTTAAAATAATAATTATAAAAAGTTTTGATTATATAATAAAAGTATTTTGCTATAAATATATTTATTATAAAATATTGTTATACTTGTATTTATAAAAAAATTATTATTAAATTTGATAAAATAATTATAGCAAAAGTAGATTATATTATTTTTTGATATAAAAGTTTTTAAAATATTTTTATTTTATATTAAAATAAAGATTATAAATTATATTGTTACTGTTTTGAGTTTTTGTGTATGAAAGTATTTCAAACTATTAATAGTAACTGTATTTACTTTGAATTTATAAATAATTAATATTTATAATAATAGAATAATATTTCTTGACTAGATAAAAATAATGATGATAAAACTAAACTAAAGACAAGACTAAACTAAAAGGAATTTTAACCAAAAATTATTTTTAACTTCAAAATTAAATCAATCTAATATTACAAACTTAAAATTAACTTAAAATTAAACTAAGAGAACTTAAATTGAACTTGAAAAACTTTAAACAAGAACTAAAAAACTTGATTTTTATTAATTATTAATATTTGTATTTATATATATTTTCATATTACAATGATACAGGATGATATAGTATGATACAATAATATACAGTATGATGCAATTGCAGTATAATATGTGATATAGTGAATCTATACTAATATTATAAAATTATTAGTTCTTTTTTAAATTACACAAAATTAACTATATTATAATTAATAATTTTGTTCTATACTATTATAATCCAAAATTATTTCTAATTTTTTAATTTTTTAATTTTGATCATGTGATTAAACATAAATTGTAGAGATAATAAAGATAGCAGAGTTTTTAGACATATTAATATTATTTACTATAGTATATTTATTTAATATATATAATATATATAATATATCTTATATTGTAATAACTTAATCATAAAAATATTTTATATAAATAAAAATCTTTTGGATAAACCAAAAGGTATCAATTAATTAATACAAAATCTAGCTAGTGTTATCATTTTAATGAAACTTTGAAATACTTAAGAGTATTTATGATATTCAAAGAGGAAACTCAAATATCTTAATAACAATTCACAGTCTTAATAATACTTTATAATTTTAGACTGAATATAAGATAAATACTTATAAGAATTACTTAAAGATTGGTAACAGTTGTATTTTTTTAACGCAATAACTGAACTGCTAAAGAGAATTCTCAAAATCTCAATGTCAAATATAATATACGTATTAAAAATATCTTTAAATCTTTAAGGTCAAAATATAAAATATAATATTCGTATTATCAGCAATATAAGATCAAAAATAAATGTATGAATGATGTATTATTAGCAATACAAAGTCAAAGATAAGTTTATGAGTAATATATTATTAACAATACAATCTTAATGACAAATTTATGAATTATAATAATAATTCCTTTATTTAATATAATATTCAATAGACTTCATCACAACATGTTCAGAAAATTTAGGATAAAGATGATAATTTTTATAGTACTTGTAGCAATCTGTTTAAGCTACTATAATATATATATTAATTTAAGATCTGTATAATTTCTTATAAAGTTATACAAGAAAATGAATACTTGGTCAAAAGAGTATAGAGCGTAATTTACACTTGACTATCTACTTTACATAAAATACAAACTTTATAACTAATTAGACATGATAATTGAGAATTACTATCTAAAAGAACTTGTTCATATCTAATTCTAATAACTATAATATATATTGCTTTTATACATGTTCAAACTATATTTCATCAGCTATATGAATTTATATTCACTAATTCTATTAGTTTCAGTATTCACTTATTTGTTCACTCATTCGTTTAGTTATTTATTTGTTCATTCACTTGTTCGCTCACTTATTTACTTGCTTCACATAATTTAACTTTTATCCAATAAGATATAAAATATGTATAATCCAATAATATGAAATATTATGATGAAAGATCAATATACAATACTAGTCAATAAATTGCTTATTATATAAAATTGTATATTAATTGATTTTATAATTAATATTATTATAATACAGTCAAACTTTTCTATAGTCACACCTGTTTATAGTCACATCTCTTTATAGTCACTCTATTTTGCTTTTCTATTTACATATAAACATAGTAAAAAAATCTTTCTATAGTCACATTCTCTCTATAGTCATTAGATTTTGCTTTTCTGAAGGTGGTGACTATAAAGGGATTTGACTATGTTTATTTTTATTATGTATTATTGGATACTCAATCAGATTATTATAAAATATTAGTACTATATTGTTATAGAACTATTTATATACTGTTACCATTTTACTTGGATTTCAAATATATTATATCTTCTTACGTGCTTAACATGTGTTTCAAGTCAGGTGAGAGAGATAAGATAAATAACTAAAGGTTGATGACGTGTATTGTTATGATATGAATATTTAGTTCTTATTTTATTGGTTAATTCATATCATAAATTTAATTGAATAATATTTTATTATATATTCTATTGGTTAATTTCATATTTATATTTTATT